CTGAGTTTACTACTCTGTTGATGAGGGTGGAAAGAAAAGTAGAGATTCTAAGCCGCTAAGGAGAGGAATGGGCACTGGGAGGTACCCAGGAGGGCCTTGAAATGGTCTACGTGCCCATGACCTGGGTGCCAGTGTTGTAGGGACACACGAGGCAAGGCACCGAAGATAGCAGGAAACAGTTTTATTTGGCTGCAGCCAGGTCAAAGGGCACAGCTTTTGCTGTAATCAATCAATCTGCTGACTGATTCTGTATTAAGCAATCCTGAAAGTGAAATTGAATTTTATGACTTTTCCCAAGGTAGTTTCAGAATTTTATACCCAGCATATAAGGGGAGGGGCTCAGAAATTCACAATCTGTAGAAGTTCACATAAAAGCAGTTTTTTTCTTTCCCTTTTCTGGGCATGTTAACCCTTCAAGGACAACACCTGAGGAGGGGAGAGCTTCTTCTCCCCTTTCTTTCCTCCCCCTGCCAGCTGTTACCATGGAGCCCAATTGGTAATTTCTCTTATCTCAGAAATGTAGACATCTCTGTGAAGCCCCAGCTCAAGGCCAGAGACCTTGCTTACACATTTCTACAAACTAATATACTGGATACATGTTTGTGAAAAACTAGTAAAGGGGTGTCCAGCACCTGGAGTGCTGGTGGTATCTTCCCGGCCAGTGGCCAAGTAAACAGGGCAACTCGAAAATAGGAAGTTTATCTACACTGAACTCCTTTGAAGAGACTCTTGCTGATAGTCCTAAAATCAGCCAGGGGATGATTTCTGGAGAAGCCCAGTTCAGAACTTTTCTGTGGAGAAAGGGGGTGCCACTACACCAGGACCCCTAAGCCTCACAGCAACAGCCTGTGCTACCTTGAAAATGCTCCAGTCCATGAGTGAGTGGCCCCAAGCCTGGAGGCCCAGCAGTGGGCCTTGACCTCTGCACTTGCTGGCTATGCAGTCACAGGCAAAGCTCCTCTGTAAAAAACTGCTGTACATTAAAATCCCATGGGAGCCTTAAAGAGTACAGATCTGGGCCCCACCTCTGTCCAAGGGTACTGACCCTGGAGGTGGGACCTCAGTCGCAGATGTGCAGCATTGCTATGCAACCCTCTGCGATTCTGGCTTTTTCCTACCAGTTCATTCCACTGCCCACAAGATGGTGCCCTCTTTCTGAGAAATCTTCCATATTCACCAACAGAGCAACAATCCATTTTCTGTATAAAGCAATCCTGAAAAAATGAAATTGAATTTTATGACTTTTCCCAACATCTCATTAAGCCAGAATCCTGTGCCCTCAGCAGTTGCTATTTACTGAGTCTCTTTTCCCTTCTGCTACAAACCACGGGGTTGGGATGTGTCTTCAAAGGGTGATAATGCAAAGGAGAGGGTAGGCATTGAGTGGTGACTTACAATCACAATCACTAGTATCAATAACACCTAATATTCATTTAATCCTTTGTCATCTGCAAAATGCTTCTCACCAACTATCCTCAGAATGATCCTATAAAATGGTCATTATTATACACATTTATGAGATGAGAAAACTGAAGCTCTGAGCTCTCTGGTTCAAGGTCCAGGTAATAATTGGCAGAACTAAATGTTACCATCCCAGACCTCGAGCTCTTTCCACTGCATCACAGAGGCGATAGCAACTGCTGGGGACTCAGAAAGTACAGCCCTGAGAGAAAACTTCTCAGGACATCCTCTGGAAGCAAGTCAGACAGATGTCATTCTGGAGCTTCAAGCCATCAGACCAAAGATGAGTAGTCAGAAGTATTTGACTGGACCACGTGGCCAACTGAGGTAACAGCTGTGAGGTTTCTAGGGAGATGCTGGACAAGTCAGCAGACACTCAACAGGAGGACAGATTTTATTATTTTTTATTTTGGGTTCCAGGAAAAATGAACTGCTATATTCCAATGAGAACAACTAATCTTAATTCTGTCTTAATAAAAAGTTATAAATTTGTTTCCAAAGAAAATTCTTTCTTTACCAGCAAGTGATGTCTTATATCAATGGATCTAACAAAGATAATTTACAAGATCACTTACAGACTTGCTGCCAGACTGATTTCCCTAATTGATCAGAAACTCAAGTGTCAGAGATGCCAGAGCCATCCCTCAGGGCATTTTATCTCAGATGAAGGGGCTGCATCAGTAGGTTCAAGCTGCGTGGACAAAGAAAGCTGCTTTCAGGACAGAAGCAATGAGATGGAAAATTTAATAAATTAGCATTTTGATAATTTTACTGATTTCTAATGTGTATCTTAGCAATTCAGTTTTCTGTGCATTAGCTTCCTGATTTATAAAATGATGACAATGATACCTATTTTTTTAGGGATCAAAAGAGTCTCCTTATTAAGTATTTAGAACTATGCCTAAGACACAGTAAGCATGATGTGTTTCTTAAGTAATGGATATGAGCACATCCACTTTTTTACAAGTGCAATTTTAATATTTTCGAAATTCCAACTAATTTTGAACTTCTGTTATTTGCATACTTGTACGTAAAGAAAATATACTTCAAGAACATTAAAGTATTGCCTCAGGATTAAAATTTGAAATCCCACTGAAGATGCACATTTGATTAAAACAGTCTTTTTGGCTTCAGAAATCAGTTAACAATTCTTTAAGTCCACCATGTTATTTGTCTTGTGATTACTGTTAACAAATAAACCCATGCACTGCCTAAAGAAAAACAAGAGTAATATGCTAGGCAAGCACGCTACCGCTGAGCCACAACCCCAGCCCTCCTTTATTCCTTCTTGACCCCCTGTTAAGTCTGGAAACTAGGGATCATTTTGGACGGCCCCCACAGCACTTTCCCCTGACTCTGGTGACTTCCTCAGCCTGGGTTTCTAGGTGAGTTGGGAGCCTTCTTTCACAGCAGTCTCAACTGAAGCTCCCTCTTTGAAAATACTTGCAAAACAATCCAAATAAGAGCGTGTGCTCTGAGGGGATATATGCAAACCCAGGGACAAAGACTGGACTGCTGAGGACAGCGAAGGGGCAGGACTCAGAAGAAAGGCACATGAATTGAAATGGAGTTTTCCAATCAAGTGGCTGTTTTTCATTTTTCATTTTGGTCTTACAGTTTAAGCATTTCTACTTAGAAAATCCAAAATCTGAAACGCTCCAAAACCTAACACCTTTTGAGTGTCAGGACACAAGGAATATTCCATCCCCAACATATGATGGGTCACATAGGCACACTAGAAATATTGTATAAAATTGCATTCAGTCTATGTATATGAGATTTATATGAAACATAAGTGGATTTTGTGTTTATATTAGTATCCAATCTTTCTTTTTTTTTTGGTGGGGGGTATTGGGAATTGAACTCAGGGGTATTCTACCACTGAGCCACATCCCAGCCCTTTTGTATATTTTATTGAGAGACAGGACCTTGCTAAATTGCTGAAGCTGGCTTTGAACTTTTGATCCTCCTGCCTCAGCTTCCTGAGCTTCTGGGATTATAGGCATGCACCACCATGCCCAGTTAGACTTTTATTTTTCTTTCTTGCATGCTGTTTTATGAAATAGACTTTGTGGACAGGAGATGAGAATGAAGATGTACCATTTCCAGCCACCGAATCCCTTCTTATTCCCTCTTGATACCTAGTTCAAACCCAGTCAAATCCTTCCCAGGCCCTATCCCCACGCCACATATGCCCTACTTCTAGCTCAGAAAGATTCTGACAGGCCCAGGCTGGGGGAGGGAGAAAGAGGACGACAGAAGTGGGTACAGGCTCCATTTGTGGTGGTAGAACGTGCACTAAAATTTTACCCTGTGGAAATGCTATTTTAAAAGATGTTTAAAGTTTTTTAGTACCAGAACTACAAGGTAGCTACACTGGGAATTATAGAGGCTTCTGTGCATCAAACCAGGTCCTAACTAATATTCATCATTGTTTCTATGAAAAATGAAATTTTATTCCAGATGCCTGACCTTTGATGAATGAACTTTTCTGACAGTATGGGAGTGGGACACTGGTCTACATGTACCCACACATTCAAGTACCGTTTCTTTTTCTGTTAATCACATTGTACATTTCTCTGTCTCTCCATAAATACCATTTTTTTTATTAAGGAACAGAATAGTATCAAAAGAAAATGTGAAAAGCAAAAAGTTAAGATTTAGGGCTGGGATGTGGTTCAGTGGTAAGCACTTGCTTACCAGACTCAAGGCCCTGGATTTAGTCCCCAGTACTACAGAAAACAGAAACCAAAAGAAACTAAGATTTAAAGAATAAAGTTAAACATTTCATATTTATTGAGTTCAAAGCAATGGTTCTGATATAAATGCATCTTCACTGAGTTACAAAAATGAGTCAATACTAAACATGATCTCTTTTTCATAGCGAGAGTAGGAGGCAGTGTGAGATAAACACAGCACAAGTTTTGTAACTGTCAACTGTGACTCTCAAAAGACAAGCAACTTCACTTTTCTAAGCCTTAGTTTCTTGATCTGTAATCAGAGATGGTTATATTCACTTCCTAGGACCACTTCTTTAATTGACAAAATATAAATATCTTGCATTAAATCTAGCACATAGTGGTTATTTCTCATCCTCTCTCCTTGTATCTAATCTCTTTGGAATTCCCTGTTTTACTTCAATAAAAGTATTTTTAACCCTCATTTAGCTTTCAGAAGCCCTTATTTAAACTTTTCCCTAGGACTGGGTATCCATCCATCTATCTGCTTGATTTACATTATCAGTTAATGTCCAAAACAGACTAATGTGGATGAATTCTTAAATACTAGGTAGGTTCAAACAGCCTACTTATTTTGATAATTGTAATCATTGTTTGAACTGATTCACCTAAACATAGCCCCCCCCCCCCCCAAACAATCCTTGGTTTTCACAAGACTGTGGATTTTATTTTCTCCAATCCCCCCACCCCCACCCCCTGGCTCTGGATTTAAGATTCTTTGAAGAGTCTCAACCAGGATCACTTTTCTGAAAATAGTTAGCAAAGTCAGGTTTACTTAAATGAATTAAGAAATGAGCTCAATGAAGGAAAAATCCGATTTTATTTAAAAGAGAACTGTCGGGTGTTCTTTCCTATTTACTATTAGGTCCAACTCTGCAGAATCAGCAGCAAGCGTGGGGAGTGGCATTCTGCAAAGAAAGCCGGTGTGGATGGACAGTGGAAGAAGGCATTGTTGACAATGATGAGCATTGTTGGGATGTCTGTGACTCTGTCTCCTTCCAACACTCTCGCTGATACTTTCTTGGTACCTGCCCTCCCACTGCCTGCAGAGGGTGAGGGCAGGGATCTGACTTGCTCCTGACTTGATGCTGTCATACTCCCCTTTGTACAGGCAACTCTGTGTCACCATGAGACAAGGCCCTGCCTGCCAACCTTAACCCCAGGTTAAAGTCACACTTGTTCTGACATTAAGGAAACCTGAAGGCCTAGAGGGTTGATAATAATTCAAAGACAAAAACCTATGAAGAATCACACACATAGCCTATATTCTAAAACGTTATTCCCTTCAGTTTATAATAAGATCAGAAGGATTTGTTTTGAATTGAAATGGTTTATTTTTTGCTTTACCCTCTTATAAAAGATGTTTTCATAAGGTGAGATCACCATGCCACAAAAGCTTGGTGCTATCCAGACAATTTGTATTTACTGTATATTTATGCATTCAAGGTTCATTCAAGTAGTTCAATGTGAAGCTAAAATGTCTACTTTTACAGTAATCTTCAGGAGTGATGATTTTAATTTTGTGGTGCAGAAATAAGGCCACATAAATAGGCAAAAAGTACATCTATGAAAATGGTAAGTCTTTAACTTACTAATCCACTAAATCTTTGACAGTAATTTTAGATTAAAATGGTCCAGAGGACAAAGTGCATAATTAATGATGAGAAAATGATTCCTTCAAGTCTCACAATACAGAGTTCTCTCTGCATTAACCATTTGTCTCGTTTTATTCATGTGAAAGTGACAGTTACTTCTTGCTTCTGTCCCCTTCATTCCAGTACTGTTCAGTCTGCATTTCTGTGAGTCGGGAAATTGTGCGCTGAAATGCAAAGATTTCCTCTTCTCCAGTAAACATAGAGAGTCCTGCCGAGTCCTGGTCATAAAAAAAAACACACACACACACAAAGAAAATCCCAGCACTAATTAAAATCACCCCAAGTGAAATTTATAGGACTAAGTACAGGTTTTAAAAAACTTTAGGTAAACCTATTTAGATTAAAAATTTTTAATATATTTTTTTCATATATGATCTTTCAAATTAGACTAGAGAGTCAACTATAGTCAAACCTATAAGCAATAAACAGAACAAATTACCAGGGAAAAAACTTAAAACAAAAAACATTACAAGAATAATTAAAGCTTAAATAATACTAGAAAATCCAAATATGAAAGATTTTGTTTAGAATGAGAGTTCTCTGCAAACCTCTAGGGACATTCCAGATAGAAAAGGAATTCTTTTTCCAAAAGTGCACATCAGAAATAAGTAATGGCATGAATAGTATTCTGCTAAGTTAGGAACAGGCTGAGATGTGCTTCTGAAGCTTCACAGGCAGGGCCTACTGCCTAAGGGGGCTCCTTGAGGACAAACCACAAATAGCTTTTTCCAAACAGGGTGAGCAGATATCCACTCTGCTGCTGGCATGTCTATGACTCTGCCTCCTCTGGACACTTTTGTTGGGTTCTGGGTCCTGGAGAATGTGCCTGGGATCTGACTTTGCAAAAACCAGAGCTGCTTCTGGTCCTCAGCTGCTGCGATACGTGGTCCCCTCATTGAGGGTTAAGTTGGGAACACTGTCTCTGTGAGGCCCTTTAATAGCCTGGAACCAGTGATACCAATGTGGGCTCATGGCCATTAAGTGGCTTTGAATTTTCCTTTCTTTCATTAGGGTTTGCTATTATGCTCTTTCAGAGAAAAATTCTGGACCATCTTCTCTCTGATCCACTGTGAACCTTCGTGACCCAGAGGTCACATTTCCCTAATTTCTTCATATATTATTGGCCCCAAGCACTGAGCTTACTTTGGTGTGTCCTGATCCCAGGAGGTAAAATTTGAAGGCCTATGATTAAATGACTTCAGAAATGATTTGATGTAATTCCTCAAGTATATTCTTTAAAAGACAATATTTGGATGTAAGTATTGTTCTTGGTTCTCCAAGAACCATTTCAAATGGTCCCAGCATAGGGGGTTTTAAGTAGCTAATTATTTCTACACTACTGTGATCTAAATATTTGTGTCCCTCTAAAATTCATATGTTGAAACCCTACCCCTTCCCCCACCCCAAGGTAATGGTATTAGTGGGTAGAGCCTTTAGAAGTTGATTAGGTCTTAAAGACAGAACCTTTAGGAATGGGATTAGTGACCTTAAAAAGAGGGTCCAGAGAGATCTCTCACTGCTTCCACCATGGAGGTTCTTAAAAAAAGATGGTGATCTGTGAACCAGGAAGTGGGTCTTCACTAAAAACCAAATCTGGTACCTTGAATTTGAACTTCCCAGACTCCAGAAATAAATTTCTGTGAGAAATAAATTTCTGTGTATATAAACCACTTACTTCATGGTATTTTGTTATAGCAGCTTGAACAGACTAAGAAATACACATTTTTTAAAGCACTTTTTAAAGAATTACAAGCTTTTTTGTCCCAAACTCCTGAGAATACATAATTTCTATTCAGGTCAATATGGAATGGGCCTACTCACTCCAAATGGGCTTTTACTTCTGGGGCTGGAAGAACAGGATCCTTAGCTTTGGAAGGAGTGTTAATAGCTTTAAATTTTGATTAATATTTCAGTTGTCTATAATTGGGAAATATACCCTGCAATGTTTTCACAGAGGAAAAAGTCACTTGTGTTTAGCCTGGGGTGAATCTAGACTCCAAGTTCCAGAAGAACTGGGCCAGAACCAATCTGTCCCCTACAGAGTGTCCCCAGAGCCTGGCACCCACAGGTGCTTCATAAATGTTTGTTGCATAAAGGCTAGAGATAATCATAGATTTCTTTTTTTTAATATTTATTTTTTAGTTGTAGTTAGACACAATACCTTTATTTTATTTATTTTTATGTGGTGCTGAAGATCGAACCCAGGGCCTCGCACATGCTACAGGAGTGCTCTACCGCTGAGCCACAACCCCAGACCCAATCATAGATTTCTTTTAAAGCTGGAGCCTTCCTGAGCACTCCACCATCCTGGTCAAGCCAGCCCACGCTCTTGGTGTGATACTCTATGAATCCAGCGATCACAAAGAAGGATATCCAGAAAAGGCATCATGGTGTAGCAGAATGAGCCTGGAACCAGACACCATTTCCTGGGGTTCACGTCTGGCCTGCCATTATCCAGCAGAGTGGCTGCGGGCCCATTAGTCTATCTCTCTAGACTTCATTTTTGCCAAATGCAAAACGAAGCATTGATCTGCACAATCACTAAGGTTTCTTATACTTTAAGATTGTAAATTAGTGATATTGAGAATGATAATAAGTCTGCTACACTGGCTTTAGAAGAAAGCAGCAAATCAATAGTTAACTATATATTGCATTCTTCAAAATGTAGCCAGGTATCAAACCAAAAACAATTAAGCTGTTTTATAATAAAAAGAGATTATGTTAATATTGCCTACCTGGCTCAGTCCCAAATCATCCATCAGTATTCTGCTTTGCTCCAACTCACTGTCATGATGTTGATGCAAAAATAAGCTTGATATAGGAGTCGTTGCGGAGCAAATTATGCGCACCTGAAATAGAGGAAAATGAGTAAATGGTGTTACTCTTTATATTTTACAAGTTGAAAGTAAGAAAAATCTCTCACAAAATAAAGATCTGTTTGTCACATCAGGAAGCTTGGATCTTTGCTTTGAAAATGTCCATAATTTTTCTAGTGCTTTGTAGTTAAATTATATTTTAAAAGTGCATAATACTTTTCAAAATATTTCCAAATAGCTTATACCATGCTGTGAACTAAGGAGCAAACATTTCAGTGAGAAACTTGAGAACTGCTGAGGTCTCAGCTCATGACATCAGCCCAGATCTTCTGGGTCTAATCTGATGTTTTTTCCATTTCTGCCATGGTTGGAATGTTTGTGTTCCCTCCAATTCATGTTGAAACTTAGTCCCAATGCCACACAGTATTAAGAGTTGGGGCCTACAGGAGAGAGTCACAAGAGGAACACAGGATCTGTCCAAGCCTTGATCTTGGACCCCCAACCTCCAGAACTGTGAGATATAAATTTCTATTATTTGTGAATTACCCAATCTATGGTATTCTGTCACAGCAGTGCAAATGGACCAAGACCATCACACTCTGCTGCTGATCACATCTGCGCCAGGACACACTGTAAAGTAGCTACCACTTTGCTGCACAGCTGACAAGTTAAGTTCAGCATGTTAGTCCTCAACCCCGAGCTTCCAAAATGTACATTTATATCAACATCCTGCCAGAACATTCTTCAAAAAAGACTTAGATTTACATTAACGTTGCTTTATTACATAAGTATTTGAGTGAGCAGATATGTGTATGTGATCAGATACCAGAAACAGCTGTACATCTTTTGTGCATTTTTTGGGCTGATGTCTGTCTACTAGTTTAAATATAAAACATACTCCTCTTGATGTTTAAAGAATTCTAGGTTTGTTTTCAGCTATCCCTTTAAAATCATTATTTAAATAAACACATCAATATTTTAAAAGAACATGTTGACATTTGAGACTAGCTTTCCCATATCCGAACAGCCTCCTACCCCTTCTTATAAATTCTTTTCATTACAAATGACACTTTTTTTCATTATTTAGATGGCAATATCCTTATTTCACAAATTTCTATGAATACACTCTAGAATAAAATCTGTTTAATGCTCTCAAATTCTGAAATAAGATAACCTGGCCTATATTTTATAAAGATTATAATGTCTAAATGTGTGATTTAGTTATAACAAATGTTAAGAGAGTGGTCCATTACACTGCTAGAAAAATCCTTGTATCTTTAAATAAAGAAATGAAAAGTGGGAGTGAGGTGGGACTAGCGGGTGGGACTGAGGGATGGGATCACAGGCTTTCTTTAAAGTATTTCCAGGTGAAATACAAAAATAATAAAATTCTTGATCCTCCAATCTAAGACCGACCTACTAATGCCTCTCCACCATTTCCTTCTTGAAGCCTTTGCCTGTAAGATCAGTGCCACCTCCAGGCTCATATTCTTTACTCTGGACCCCCTGTGATTAGTGGGGAGCAGTCTCTGCAGAAGGCAGACATTCATAGTCAATGGGCCTTGATCCCAGCTCCAGGACCTTGCCTCTGCTTCTCCTAACTTCCTGACCACAAGCGTGTCCATGAGCAGCAGTTGCTGTCCTTTGTGCTCAGCCCATCCATCCTGGGGCCCTGGCTGCAAACTCCCTGCCCTAGTTACCCTCTTTCATCCTGTGCATGGAGTTCAGCCCTCACTCCTTTTAGCATTTATATAAAACCCCTGTTCCAGGACCCATGCTGGGTCCTCATTTGATGGAGTGAGCTCTAGAATCTGGATTTTAAGTAGCCTGGACGATTCTAATGAAGATGGTCCTTAGAAGATTTCCCTGTGCCACCCTCACCTACCCCTTTCAGATCCCTGTGCTTTCCCCAGACTCTCAGTACCATAATGTCCAAAAAGTCACCCTGCAGTGGTGACTGAACATGGACTTCTGGGGCCATGTGAGTCACAGGTCTCTGACACAACTAAAAGCTCCAAGAAGGCAGGTGCTGTGATGGCTAATGTCACTTACTCCCAAATTTCTAGCACTGAGCACTGTGTCTGGCATGATAAAGATTATTGAATGAATGAGAAAATAAAATATTGAAACCTCACCTCACCCTTGCAAAATATTCTGTTTTTTGTCTTCCCCCAAGTCCCCTTGATCTTATAATTACTGCTCTATTTAATTCTGTACAAGAAATAGGGAGTAAAACCATGTTTAAATTAACTCTAATTTAACATCATACACATATCTTTACCGACAATATATATTTACAGCTGTATACTATTAATTGTGGCTCACCTTTACTAAGAGTTTGCTATATGCCAGACAATGTTCTTACTACCTTACATACTCATTTCACCCTCACAAAATTCTTTTGAGTATCCTGTTCTTTTAGAGAAGGCAACTGAAGCTCAGAGAGGCTAACCCAGTCTTCAGGACAGACAGCCTGGCTCCAGCATGCATTCTTTTACCACTAAGCTACAACGCCTTTCATGAATGAGCAGTGGTTCTGCAATCCAGGTGGAAACACACGGGTCCCAACAAACAAACAACAAGATAGTATAATGCTAGTTTCTGGGTTTCTGGGTCATAGGGCAAGAGAATTCTAATATTGTTCATTCATTTTTCTACCAGCCAACCATTTATTCAGGCCACACATATTTATTAAGCACTTGGTCTGGGCCAAGCATTGTGTTGATGATCATAGATGGTGCATGTGATCCTTCTGGTAGAAGGATGGAATCATTAACGCAGCAGAGTAATTGTGATGGGAGTCTGACTGTAAAACTGCTACTGCTACTAATGGTACTTGTACACCACTCAGCCTTGGCCAAGTGTTGTTTCAAACACCTTAAATGGATTAGCCTTTTCAGTGCTCATGACAACACTCTGAAATAAATCCTATTACAAGTCTGATTTGTAGACGAGGAAGCTGTGGCAGAGAGAGGAGAAGTAAGTGGTAGAGCCAGGATTCCAGGCCAGGAATCCTGGGTCACCTGGTTTTGCAATCCAAAATGTGTAGTTTTGAGAAAACGTATTACAGCCTTACCTTGAAATCATAAAAGTTATCGATGAGAGTTATGAATCTTCGAGCTTGAGTCCTCTTTGCCAGCGTAAATTGTGGAATGTTTCGTAAAAATACTGTGTCAAAATTCCTAGATAGTTCCAAATAGTCACTGGCTCCAAGTGGCTATCATTAAAACAAAATAAAGAAAAGAAAGAGATTAATACTGGTTGCCTTTGGGTTGGTTTAATTTGAAAACTCCTATCACTCTGATGTAGACAGTGGCTTTGGGGGTAATGACCAAAAGGGGCAGTGTTTTCAGACTAGGTTAAGGACACAGACAGTGGACCCTGTATTGCCTTAACAATGGTGTAAAATGTTGGCAAGAAAGAAGAGTGTGGTGGAAGTGAAAGAGTATTTCTGGCATAGTCTTAGCTGGTACCTTTTAGGAATCTGTCCTAAATCTAGTCTTTTCTATTTTTATTTAGGACATAATTTTTTAATACTTATTTTTTAGTTGAACACAATACCTTTATTTATTTACTTTTTCTGTAGTGCTGAGGATGAAACCCAGGGCCTTGAATGTGCTAGGCAAGCACTCTACCACTGAGCCACAACCCCAGCCCTTTATGACATCATTTTAAGTAGGCCTGCTACGGTTTGAATGTGAGGTGTCCCCCAAAGCTCATGTGTGAGACAATGCAAAAAAGTTTAGAGATAAAATATTGGGTCATCAGAATCTTACCCCAATCAGTACAAAGGGATTAACTGGGGTAATGCAGGTAGGGTGTGGCTAGAGAAGATGGGTTCCTGGGGGCATGCCTTTGGGGTATATATTTTGTCCTTGTTGAGCAGAGCTCTCTCTCTCTCTCTCTCTCTCTCTCTCTCTCTCTCTCTGCTTCCTGGTGCCATGTTCCAGTTGCTTTCCTCTGACACACCCTTGTACCATAATATTCTGCCTTCCCTCCAGCCCAGAGCAATGGAGTTGGCCATCTATGGACTGAGACCTCCGAAACTATGAGCCCCCAAATAAACTTTTCCTCCTTAAAATTATTCTCGTCAGGTCTTTTGGTCACAGCAGTGAAAAAGCTAAGGAAATGTCACCTCTGCTCACTTTAAGTTGTGTGTGATTGTACTCCATGAGTAACAAATCATGAGCAAGAGCATTTCTGGCCCTCTAGAATGTGAAAGATCAGAGACTGGGTGGCTCAGGTCCCTCTGAAAGCTCCTGGGTCACCAAGAGCAATCCCTAGGATGCAGGAGGCTGAGCTGCCTCAGTTTCAGGCCCATCCATCAATACTCCTTTCTGTCCAGAAATGCCTCACTTAGGGCTCCTTTGTCTGAAAACTTCATTCAGAAAGAATGTTATGGCCGAATTCCTGGGAGAATTAGGGAGTACAAGGGGGAGGAGTCATTCTTTCCTTAGCATCCATTTGTTTAAGCCTACCTTTCCTGATAGGACATTTCCTGATGTTCCTAGCCCCAAAGAATGTGTGTGCAGGTAGTTTTCATAATGTTCATGGGTTAAACAGATGTTCTAGGAACAAGAACTTTCAACCTGCAGGTAGAAATATTTTTGAGGATCTTAAGTCTTCACAATCCACGAAAGTCTGTTATACTCAGTACAGAGGTACAAGTCCTCAAGAAGACTAGAAAGGTGTAAGTAATTCAGACAGTTAAGTTCTGGAGAAGGAGTTCCCTCAAGAGAGAAAGCATTTAAAAGAGAGAGAGAGAGAGAGAGAGAGAGAGAGAGAGAGAGAGAGAGAGAGAGAGAGAGAGAGAAAGAAAGAGAGCAGTTCTAAGACAGGGACAGCAAGTATGAGACCAGGGCAAAGGGGCACAAAACCAGAAAGAACAGCACAAAGAATAACCAGACTCCTCTGGGAAGGTACATATGGTGCCCACATCCGCCCCCCCATCTCCTCTCACCAACCAGATACAAATGCAGTCTGAAGATCTTTGTCTTTCTGTTCTCCTTCCCTCACTGCAAAGATTCTACCTCCAGACCTTATGCCTGGTTCTGAGTCAAGACACTCACCTCAGCCAGGGAGGGGCTTGAGGGTGCTGTGGGTTTGAGAGCTAGTTTTTGATTTAACCCTGGCACTCTTGCCAGGGTATGTTGCTGTCAAGCCTGACAGAGTAGGAGCATGTGTTAATGGAGAAGCTAGGAGCAAGGGCTCTAGACTGCCTGGATTTGAATCCTCGGTCTGTTACTTGTTAACTGGGCATTTTTGGTAAATTACATAAATTTTCTGTTCCTTGGTTTTCCCATCTATAAAAATGGAAATCTGGTTCTAATCTCACAGAATTAAGGATTAGATAATACATGTAAAGCATTTAGCACAAGTGGCTGGGGCATTGGATACCTCAGCATCCAAACCATTTTGGTTACTTTTATTATTATTATTTTGAACTCAAGTGATTGGGCTCAGTACAAATAATTTGAGAATGTGAAGAAATTTCATTCTCAGTGAGAATGTTAATTTTCCTCTACCACCAACTTCACCCAAAACTCTAAATCAGCTTTTGTGCATTTGCCTGACCTTGGAGTCACAGCAGTGACCACAGGAGATTGTGGAATCACCATGTAATGAAAACAATTCCCAGAAGAGAGAAGGGAAGGCAAAATAGTGTCTTTTTGTAAAAAAAGGATAATAATAAGACTTTCACACTCAGAAGCTGCTTTCTTGAGATCAGTTAGAATTGAGTATCTCATCTTTTGTAAATCAGAAGGTATATTTTAAAAATTGTAAAACCTCATATTAGGTATGTAGTTATGTATAATTAAGCTCACTCTTTATGCATGGATGTGATTTCTATCAGTATAACTACATGCCCAAGGAAAATCATTATCAGAAGTGCACTGAAGTGCCTAGGGCAACTGAAAATCAGAATTTTGCCCACTCAGCTATTTTACAAATTATACACCTTTGTCAGTAGGTGCTGCATTTGCCATCATATTAACAAATAGCCCTCTCCTGCAGATCACTAAAACAATTATGTGCTCATTCACATAAAGAAAAATAAAGCTTAACATAATTACCTATCTCCTTTAAAAACAATAGTGGTTGGGGGAATATAGAGTTATTGTTTATTGCATACAGTTTGGGATGATGAAAAAGTTTGCAGATGGATGGTGACGATGGTGGCACAATGGGAACATATTTAATGCTACTGAACTGTTAAAATGGAAATTTTATGTTATATATTATTTTACCACCTTAAACACTCATATAATAAGAAGAGATTATTGGTTGCCAAAGAAATGAAGGAAGTCTCTTCCCCCCCCAAAAAAAAATCAACTCCAAAAAATCTCTGCCCCCCAAAATATCTTAATCTTTTATTAAGATTAATTTAAAATATTAAAAAATGTAAATATTTTCTTGCACTGGCTTTGATGTAGAAGTGTCCAAGAAGTAACACTCAAAATTTCAGAATTGAATTTGGTGAGATATGGGGATTCAGATCATGGGTGAAAACATAAGTAAAGGCTTTGGAATCACTGGCTCTGTCACTTGAACAAATCTCTCTGAACTTAGTTTCCTCATCAATAAAGGGGATTATAAGAGAACTTATCTCAGGTTTGTCCTCAGGAGTCAATTCTTTATTTTATTTACTTTTTTTTCTGCAGTACTGGGGACTGAACCCAGGAGAACTTTACCACTGAACTACATACATCCCCAGCCATTTTATTTTTACTTCTTTTGAGACAGGGTCTCATTAACACTGGTCTCAAAATTGTGTTCCCCTTGTCTCAGTCTTCTGAGTTTCTAGGATTACAGGCATGTTTCACTGCACCCGGCTGCTAAGGATTCAATTCTTGACTGCATATAAAATTTTTTTTAACAGTGCCTGACACATAATAAGTGTTCAGAAAGTGCTGGTTATTAATTTACAGAATTTATGTGAGAGTTCAATGAAATGACTTATGCATAGAGTACACTATTTGGAATATAATACTCAATAAATAGCTAGCTATTATTTTATTAACCATTAATCTTTTCCTCAGATTGTGAGGCCAGGGAGCCTACGAGTGAATAGGTAAACTGACTCTAGTTTACTTCTACTCTTCCATCCAGTAGGTAGAAGCTGCTCCCTCTAGCTAGTCCACTGAGACCCTACACACCTTGGTTCTCCATAAGGTCATATGTAGGTAACAAAAATTGCTCCTGCCTCAGGCCCTGTCTTTCTGTCTTTAGCAACATCAGCAGCACCACATGGGGGTGGAGAGGAATCCTCATGCCTACATAATGACAGTCCCCAATGCAGGACATGGCACAAAGGAAGTGCTTAATATTATTGAATGAATTAGGGAGTAAATGTATGAATAGAACATAAAATAACATGGGCAGCAGGCCTACCCCTTCTTTTATCATTAGTCTCCAAAATAATGAAACACATACCCAAAACACCATAGGAAAAACTATAGAAAGATACAGACCAAAATATTAGTAGTAGTTACCATTAGGTAGAAGAAGAGAAGATGAATTTTGTCTCTTTGTTATATTTAAAAAAAATTTTCCCAGTGAATTTATATGTTATTTAAAAAGCAAAAGCAATAATGCTTTTTAAAAATAAAAGAGGAGGTTATTTTTATAATGGGCATTCATGTCTCATCTATGTGAGATTACAATAACCAATTTTGGCGTGGGCATTTCTTTATTTCTTTTTCCTGATAAGTTTTATTAATCCATAGGCATTCAGTTTTTTTCAAGGACATTTTAAAAGAAAATGTAAGCTTCACATAACTTTCCGTTACAGTTTGACAGAGGAAGTCAAATTTGATATTTGGATGATATCTGACTTTAGTTACACAGGCACATTCAACTAATGATTTCTCACACTAAAGCAGTAAAAGAGAGAATAAGGCAGAATGGCAGGATTCCCAAATAGTTCACAGTCAAGCACCAAGCCCTCAATGTCAAAATCCATATCCCAGTCCAGGTTGATTTCCTTCCATTTGTAAATCATGTCTTAATTTTGCAGTCTTTTCCAGGCAAGCTTGATGAGTAGTATTAGGCCAGTGTTTCTTGTCTCCATGATGTCAGATGACATCCAGCCCATCTGCACATGGACACGTGCTCCCCACTTGAGTACCTAGGTACTCTAAAATGAATCTAGGTTAGACTTCCTGTATGTTCTATATGTACTCTCCTTTATTTACTTATATTTTATTTCTCCACAAC